CCGAAGGCATAACTCTGTGTTAAAATGAGCCAGAGCCAATAGGTCTACCATGGTGTTTCTTTCGAAGCAAACGTTTGAACTTATCATTTCAAAATACCACATAGCAAAGTACTACACTAAATGTATAGAGTTATAGAGTAGGTGTCGTTCGACAACTTACGAGCAAGGTCTGCGTCTACATCTTCAAGGCTTGGAAGCTACAGGCAACCTCCGGAGACCCGTCTATGGGCAATACTGGAAACTTTCAGAATTCATTAACTTTGACTCGTTACACGTGTCTAAATCCTAAAAACCGCTTGATGCGGAAAATCTTGACTTATGGTTTTCAAGAGTTTTCTAGAAACCTTTTCTCAGCGCTAGCGAAATTTTTATGTTTCGGATTGCGCAATTCGATGAAACACCTGAAATCAAACAGATTCTGAAAGTTTGAAGTATTTTGGTCAAGAAGTAATGAGACTGTGAGTTCTTTATTGTAGTACGGTCATAGGTGCAAAATCGAGCTTTTCGAAAAACTTGTCTTTCGAACTTGCTGTTTTGTTGTGACAAAATAAACATCGTTACGAGATGCAGCACAGTCGACAGCCTATGTACCATGTGTTTCTGAGATTCCGAGACTTCAGGTTTAGCTAATAGGCAGGCTCCCGGAGGTTGCCTGTAGCTCCCAAACCGTGGTAGATGTAGACGTGAAACTTGCGCCTAAGTTGTGGAATGACATCTGCTCTGTCGCTCTATAAATTTAGAGTAGTACTTTGCTATGTAGTGGTTTGAAATGGCAAGTTCAGACGTTTTGATTCGAAAGGTACATCATGGTAGACCTGTTGGATCTGGTTCATTTTAAACGTTAGAACAAAAAAAATTAGGCACCTCGATTAGTATCAAAATTTTAGTCCTTCCCGAGAAATTTATTGAGAGGTCGCAATATTTATTATTAATTAACCGAATTGTCTAGGAATGTCGACGATAACGATAGCCAGAAACCTGAAACAATAACAAAATATATCTTCCACAGAGCGTTCAACTAGTCCTGAAAATGTGACATCTTAAATGTTTTTTCTTTCCACCTGGTAGCATTTCTATTGAAAGCTAAAAATGCGGAGGAATACTCTGAAGTTGATGTCTCAAAGTATATTGTAGTCTCGATTAATATCATCAATTCTCTCGAGTGGTGCGGTTAAGGTGTTCAAACACGAATTCGCAGATGGCGTCTTCCAGTGTGAATTGTACTTCGGTGCAATTAACTGGTACTTCGACCACTATGTAAACATACCATATCTGCGAAGTGTATCGAGGGATGAATTGCATTCAGAAACTGTTGAACGTTTTGTTATGTCTCAACAGTGTGCATTTCCGAACCGATCGCGAATTCTACATTCTTGGAAACATGCTTATCAATGTGCAGATACGAATTCGGAAGAATTGGTTCACCTGCTTAAATATCAATTCAACAATGGTGGCAATGTGCAGTTTCGCACATTGTGGGTGATCTAGTAATTTGATCTAGAGCAAAAGATAGACTGCAAAAGATCTAGTTCAACTGCAGTGAACTTGCGAATTCTCAGATTTTGCATACGAATTCTTTGCAAAGTACAAAGGGTAAGCAATTTGCAGATTTCTCGATCTAGAGGTAAAAGATTTTGGAACTTTGATAGTTAGTATAGCTACTCACCTGCAACTTTGCAGTATTAACGTACGAAGTAATCGCAATGTGCAATTCGTAAAACAGAAAAACTCTACCAACCATTTCTTACGAAATCACACATACGCCTAGCAATCCAGCCAACCCGCGTTCTATAAATTCATGTATCCACAGCGAAGTGCATTTGCACAATTCGTAAAACGCTCAGAAGTAGCTGTAACATCTAATTTTGAAATTCCTGCGATTCGTTCACGCTCAGCAAGGTGCATTTACGAATTGTCTAATTCCATAAAACACATCGCGTTTGCGAATCCTTGGAACATGAAAATTAGTAAGTAGTATAAAACTTGGATCTAGCAATGTGCATTTACGAAATTCGTAAAATGGTCTCAATTCGTAAAATGCCCCCAACAGTATGCATTTACGAACTTAACGAGTTAAACGAACTGGAGTGTTTTCATTCTAATGGTGTAAAAGTGCCAAAACAACAGTTTGCACAGTGTGAGGTGCATTTCGTTTTTGATCGCCCTGGCCGCACAATTGATTCTCTCTTGAATGGTAGTGAAACATTTCAGTTATCGAGATTTACGTATTTAGTGTCTCAGAGCATAGTCACATTATAAATCTGTTTGGTAGTAATGCTTTGAACATTAGCAGCTTTTGGAATTTGTACGCAACTACAAGAAGGACAAATACAGCTAAGAGATTCATAACATAAAACAAACAAGCTTGTTGTGAATACAGCGAGTCGATGATATTTTTCTAATAAAATAAATGTAACTAATCAAAAAGACAGGTCAGTCTATTTCATTTTTTTCCTAACAATATTCATACAGGCAACCGATTCTTTCTCTCAACTGACTCATACAAACAATATAACACAAGATGAATGTTAATAGTGGACACCGGACATGCATGGATGAATTTTAATATCGTTTGTTCTTTTCAAATTTCATTTTACTCTTGATAGTTGTCAACAAAGGCATATCTATGTCTAGGTCTGAATCATTATCATAGTGGGCAGTACGTTGAGTGCAAAAATCTTTCGTCTATTTTTTTTCCCCGTGTCTGTCTGTCTAAATCGAACACTACAACAAAATTAAGGTATGTATATCTCAGATGAAAAATTGCAGAAAAAGTGGAAGTACTTTTATCAGTAATAAAAAGTATGTAATAATCTCGCTTTCATCAATTACCTGAGATTCAGTACTTAATCGTATTATGAAGGAAATGTTGTTAAGTAACAAGGCTTTGATAATGTTGACTAGGTCTAGAAAGCTTCAATAGTAAAGTATAATGCAGAGGAGCGTGTGTTTAAAATAATTTATTTCAACTTTGAGTTTGATTTAGGTTAAAAAAAGCTTTAGTGTACGCAAAGTATAACAGTGGTATGAAAAGAAAATTGAAAAAAAGAATTTGAAGCTAAGTCAAGCTGGGCAGATAGATATATAACAGAAATTTAATATTTGTACAAAGAATTTTCAATAAAGTTCTCTATTGTTGGTGAAGAGAAATCTTTTTTTTAGCAAGCAATATCCCAAACAAAAATAAGAATTTTGAAGTTAGGTAAAAGCTGACGTTAGTAAATTTTTCTTTTTGTTTTTTTAAAGTTTTTTTCCAGATAACGAGAACTGCTGAGAACTGTAAAACTGGCAAAAAAAACTTCTAGTATTTTATTCTCGGTTTATAATATATTTGTAAAATTTCTGATTTATACATCGAATGAAAAGAACGCAAACAAATATGTAGAGCACGCTATATATATTAAAAGACAAAATTCATGCATGCATGGTATCCTACATTACAGATGTGTTCTTAGAGCGGGACAGAGCATAGGTCTTTTTCTGAAATAATTTTGTTGCCCACGATCAATAAAGCACAACATTTTTATACATGTATTTCCGGTAGAATTGAATAAACTACATGCCATACTACAGACTAAACACGATTCGAGAAATTTCATAGGGCATGACAAGACAACACCGAAGCTATAGGGTAGGACAGGTCCAGGTCATGAAAATTTTTATAGGACAGGGCACAAGAAATCAATTGCCCTACACATCTCTATCCTATATTCTCATGAAGAAAGCACAAACATTTTCAATTTGTTGTATTTAAAAACATTTTGCCATAGTTATATAAAATCTCCTCAGATGTTCCCCGTCTGTCTCTTAGTTCGAGGTGGAAAACGATAAAAATTATAACCACAAATAAATATTCAACTTGAGGACGAAAAACATAGTCGTGGTTGATATAAATTCGTGTTCACCCTCGTGTACATTATCTTAAGAAAAGCTTTTAACATCATACAAGTTAAACCTGAGATCATTCGTCAACTTTTCGATTGGATGAATCGAGATTCGATAAATAAGAAGTCTGGTCAATCGATAATATTTCCTTATTTTAGATTATCATTTAAATTATGATGTATACTCAACGTCCAACATTTTATTATCATCATCATCATCATTATACTGGTAGAAATATTCCATCAAGAGTTGATAGAGGTCTGCCGTATATATATAATCAAAATCAATTTTGGTATTCATTTCGTCGGCCTGGTCTTATCTTTGGTAGTATAATATTATTATTATCAGCAACAATGTTTTTCACTGAAGTCGGTCGATTATATTCGGGCTCAAATAATCGTGGTGATTCCAATGATCGATATTTGTATGAAATGTATCCAAATAATATTGTTGGACAAAATGGTGTTCAAAATGTTAAACCAGAAAATCGTTGGTTTTGGCCATGGTCAACGGCAACGCTACTATTTGGTCTAGTATTTATTGCTACAGGTATTATGGGGATAATAAGTGGTAAACGTTTAACTTATACATCGATATTAGCTTATTTAATACTTTCCATTCTTAGTCTATTTTTGTTGGTATTTATAATCGCATCATATTCAACAATTATAACTGGCTGGTATAAAATATACAATACGAGAAATGGAAATTTAATGCCAGTCTATGCCAGAATTGATCGTGATCTAAGTATCGTTTGTTTATCGTTAGCATGTGCTCTAACATTATGTATATTTATTGGAGCTATTGTAGCCGGTTTAGCTATACAAGCATGTAGAAAAAAGGGATCCTCAACAGATCAATTCAATGACAAACAAATATTAGCACCGGGAACACCACAAATGGGAATACCGCCAAGAAATTATCCACAAAGACCATATCAATTAAATTAAAGAACCAAAATATATATGAATAGTATAAACGCTTATCGGCATTGTTTTTTTTCTATCTTTTTTCATACTCTTACACTACTTCTTCTATTTAACGTGTTTTTTTTCGTGGTCTCAAAAATAAAAGTATAAACTTCTGTTAGATACCAAAATAGTTTGTTACTGGTTTTAAGCATATACACAATGTAATCTTTGACTGCGACATCTTTCTCAAG